TAGGTGTGGTGATCTGGGAGTTTCTTGTACATGGTTGTCTGTAAGATTCCATTGTTGAAACGGATTGTGGTGTCCAGGAACTTGATGCTAGCACGGGAGTGTTCCAGAGAGAGTTTAATGGATGGGTGGTGGCTGTTGAAGTTTTGGTGAAAATCTATTAGGGAGTTTAAGCTGTCTGTCCAGAGGATGAAAAATGTCATTGATGTATTATTGGTTTCATAGTGCATTGGTCCAGCAATTCTTCTTCAAAGGTGGCCCATGAAGAGATTGGCATATTGGGGAGCCATCATAGTATCCATGGCTGTTCCCATGGTTTGAACAAAATGTTTGTTATTGAATGCAAAATTGTTATGAGTGAGGATGAAATGGATGAGTTTGATGATGTGTTTGGAGTGGATATCTGAGGATTGTCCATTGTCTTGTAAATATTTCAGGTAGGCAACTATGCCATCATTGTGAGGGATGTTGGTGTATAAGGAATTGACATCCATGGTGGCGAGGCTGGTGTTCTGAGGGAGGCTGTTAATGTTGCGGACTTTGTGGAGGAAATCAGTTGTGTCCTGGATGAAGCTGGCCCTTTGTGTGATGAATGATATGAGGATGGGTTTTATGAGTCCCGATATTCCTTCACTAAGGGTGCTGTGGCCAGATATGATGGGTCTTCCTGGGTTCCCTTGTTTGTGTATCTTGGAAGCATGTAGAAGGTTGCTTGAGTGGTTGGGTGAGATTGTGGAGTTTCTCTTGGAGTTGTATGGAGAAGAATTTGATGGTATCCTTAAATTCCTGAGTAAATTGTGGTGTGGGGTCTTTATAGTAGGTGGTGTAGGAGAGGTGTCAGTTGACCTCATCTTTGAGGACTACAATGGCGCACTTTTTGTTTGCCAGTTTGATCACTATCTGGTGCTCAGATTTTGGGTACTATATGGCTGTTCTTTTGGTGGGTGGAGAGATTATGGTGGATGTGATGTTTGTCAAGGATTTTGCAGTTAATTTTTTTTCCTGAAGCAATCACTGTAATGATCAAGAGTGTGGGTTTCTGCACTCTGAGCTATCCAGTCAGAAGATTCTTTTTTCTTAAATTGTCGGTGAGGACATGGCAATTGTGAGTGGTGTCATCATTCTTGTGAAAGAATTCTTTGAGGTGGAGACAGTGGAAGAATTCTTTTAGTTCTCCACAAGTTAGCATGGTGTTTAGTTCTGTGGTGTTTAACTATGTTATTTGTTTGCAGTAGCACCTAACAGTCCCAACCAGGATCTGAAGCCTGTTTTGCCTAGTGCTCTGCAAATGCAGAGTGAGAAGTCAGTACCTGCCCTAAAGATCTAGACAAGGCAGACAAAATGTTGGAGAAATGAAGCATTATTATCTCCATTTTGCAGACAGGAACTTAGCACAGAGAGGTTTAGCAACTTGCCTAAAGTCACATAGAATGACTGTGGCAGAGCCAGAACTGAAAGCTTATCTTGAATCTTAGTACAACACTTTACCTACAAGACCTTCCTATGTGGATCCAGTATTTATATAAAGTTTTATTTCAGAAGTACTTTATCAGAGTGGGGGTTGATTTTTGTTATTTTTTGCTAACTTTTCCTTCCATTCTGAGTGTTTTGTCTCCTCCAGATGTTAATTGTCCTAATTATGGACAGCAACTGCAGGGGCTTATGGGCAACTGGCACAGCACCCAAGAAGTTATGCAATTTCTCGCTTGGGCCTGTTCAGTGTTATAACCATTAACCCGTTCAGTTATGGATGGTGTTTGTTGCAGCAAAGAAATACCCTTAGTTCAGAAAAGCGATCTAGTCTTTGAGTGCAGTTCTTCTTGTTTAAGCTACTTACATGTTTGCTTTAAAACAGATGGATGACACTAGAAGATTTCAACTGCTTATTTGGGAAAGGCAGCAGGATGAGCGCTTGGAAAGCATCACATATTGCACACTCTGCTATGGTAAGGCTGCTCATTTCACTTAACCAAAATCAGTGCTAATTGTCCCTGTTGTTGTATCCATGCGCTGATGTTCACAGCAACAAATCCTCCGGATATTAGTGCAATAATTTTCTAGCCAAGATAGACAGTAAAAATTAGAGATAAGAAGAAAAATGCTGTTTAGTTGTCCTCTACATGGTGAAAGAAATGATTAAATTTGGCATTTTCCTTCTAGTGGAAGTTACTCAAAATAGAGTCATGCTTCTGGGAAAGGAGGCTCGTTTACTATAACTTCCACATTTCCAGCAGGGAGAAGGAAGAGGGAGTTGATGGACAGATATATTTAGGAATGACAGCCAACAGTCAGATTAAAAAATAGAGTTTGTTCCAGTATTGTTTATTTTGTTAGGCTTCAAGGAAAGAAAAAACAGATGAGCTCTTCAACACATGTTGGCTATTTTCTTTTACCACTGCTGTGTTATGTCCCATGAGATCTCAGAACATAATTTAGAGGGAGTCCATCAATATAGTTTATCAGACCAACTTATAAGAGCTTTCAAAGTAATTTTTAAGACAAACTTTTTAAATGAAAAAAAAATAGTCTCACTTCAGTTTTAAAGTGATTGCTTTTGTTTCACTGTAAAATAGCTTACAGTTCAATGCTTCCTGCCTAGATAAATGCAAACCAGATACAAACTGTGAAGTGACCGTTCCCCCACCAGTCATGGTGAACATGGACATCACTTATGTCATGGACAGCTCTGACAGCATTGACAGTGATGAGTTTGAGAGAGCCAAAGACTTTGTGAGTACCATGCTCGATCACTTTGTTATCACCTCACAGCCGAGGGGATCGAATGAAGGGGCGAGGGTGGCACTGGTGCAGCAGGCTCCTCGAAGCTTTATCTCCAACAGAAACACAAGCCCAGTGAACAAAGAGTTTGATCTGATCACGTACAGTGGTAAAAATTTGATGAAGAGACATATCCAAGAGTCTGCTCACCAGCTGGAAGGGCCATCTGCCATTGGTCATGCTCTGCAATGGACAATTGACAATATATTTTTCAAAGCCCCCAATCCGAGACAACACAGGGTCATATTTACAATACTTGGAAGTAAGACGAGTTCGTGGGACAGACAGAAACTGAGAGAGGTCTCACTGCAAGCCAAGTGCCAAGGATTCATCATGTTCACCCTAGCACTTGGAAACGATATTACCAGCAGTGAGCTGACAGAGCTTTCGAGCTTCCCAGCAGAACAACATCTAGTGCAGCTGGGCAGGGTTCTGAAACTTGAAATGGCATACGCTCAGAAGTTTAGTCGTGTCTTCCTAAACCTCCTAAAACGTAAGTAGCACACAATTCAACTTACTTCTGTTACTGAAGCAGTGAGAAATGCTTCACCATTAGTCATGCACATTCACCATCAGTCATGAGAAGTGCAAGAATTTCTAGTAAAAGAAGTTTTTGAGCTTTTATAATGTCATGCTTAGTGTCATCAGACATCACAGTGTGGTGCTCTGCTCTGTTCAATGATGATAACAGTCGGCTGCGTATGTGTGTTCCCTCTGTGTGCTGTCCTGGCTCTGCGCAGATAGCTGACACAGCAGACATGAGAGAACCCCAATGACCACAGACTCTGATAAGGTACGAAGGCACCCAGCCAGGTTTATTGTCAAATGAAGCACAGTAATAGTTTCCCGCAGATTCTACAGGACATACTACGAATATGTGCCCCCGACAATGGACCGGCTCAATCAGTGGCGGGACTCTCGACTGCCCCCTAGGCCAGACAAAGATATCCACTCAGAGATGCATTCTTATACACAGGTACAAACAAGTTATACATCACTCCTGATGCATCGAGGTACAACCCCTTTGCGTGTTGGGGTGCTGCCTCTCTCCTGGTACATGTTGGTTCGAACAAACAACTCTATCCATCATATTATCCTTTTGACCCTGTCTTTAGGATGGGTCAGCCTGTTCCTCATTATCTCTGTGGAATGTATTCGTACCAGAATGTTCTGGTGTCATCCTGGCACATGTTCATCCTACTAGTACTTGATACCTTTTAGATATGTGTATATATGCAATTAGCAGCCTTCTTCTTGCCAACTTCTGTGAGCAGGGCCTGCCTCTGGCTCACAGCTTAACTTTGCTTTACATTAGCAAAGTCTTGACCATTACTTTAGTTCAGGCCTCAGGCCTCATACCAGGCCTCTGATACAAGGGTATATGTTTCAGGGCCTCATCTTACTACATTCCCCCACTTTTTGTCTTTTTATGGGGAGGATGTTTACCCATCGTCCCAGAAAAGCATAATGCATGGACTCAGGATAACCCAGTGGGCTAAACACTGTTATGTGGTTACCTTATTTTACCATCCATACACTCATGCCCCACCTGTCTTTAGACTGCACATTCCCTCATACGACTGATGGACAGATTTTATTTTCCAATTGATTGTAGTCCCTTATAGTGGGCATGGGAATGTTAGGCCCGAGACCATGACTGAGGAATGTAGTATTATGACTGAGCCTTAGAGGCAATTCCAAATAATTAATATATATGAATAATATGGATATGGCATATATATTTGTAGCATATATGGGTATATATGTGTAGTATGTATGTGTACATATGACACCACCTTATATCCAAGCATAACCATATTTTTCCAGTCTGGTGTAGTACTTTATCCCTTTTACTTTGGTGACACAGATAGAAACACACTCCTATTAGGGTAATTGCAGTTATCACCTGTATCATCATTAGTAGTAGGCTAGGGTAACCAAACAGTAAATGTGAAAAATCAGGATGGGGGTGGGTGGTAATAGGAGCCTATACAAGAAAAAGACCCAAAAATCAGGACTGTCCCTATAAAATCAGGATATCTGGTCACCCTATAGTAGGCTGAGTGTTTTTGAAATAGGCATTGTTATAGTGTGTTCCACAGTATTATGTATATGAGAAGTAAAACAGAAATTTGGAGTAGTGACACTACAAATGAGGCCTTTATATATAGATGTCCTGTAATTAGTTTCTAGCCAGTACTGTGCATTCATATTATGGGTTTAACTTACTGCTGGTTGTCACCCTCTGCTAAGCTTTGCTGGGCAGGAAACAGGAATGGCTAGCTTCTCTGTTCCACGGATTGCATTGCCCTGTGGTACACCAGTAGTTGACGTAGATCCAGTTATTTTTGTTTTTCAGAAAACCTACTGAGTGGACAATAACCAATTTCTCAAATATTGCTGTGTCAGGATGTAGTATTGGTACCCAGACACTGAACAAAATTGTTTTGAATAACATGTGCCTCCGTTAGGATGCAGTGTTACTGATCCCAAATTGTGACCAGTACTAACAGGGAATTTTATATACTTCATTTGTAGTTACTGTGTAACAATTTTTTTTAACCAATTTGTTTCTCCTGGCCTTCATGTTGTTTGCTGCCATTCCTTTGTTGAGTTTTACCTGTGGGTTGGTTCAACAGTTTAGCAAGGTTATGCACATTGTAAATGTTGTACAGCAATAATACAACAGTACAACGATATTATAGTTGTTTTTACCCAGTAAGCAAGTTGAAATTAAATGACAGTTTATCCTGGTCCAGCAAGTGGTTTTTAGCTGATTGTTAACTTAATTGTTCATATATGGTAGACAGAGGTGTATTTGACCAGTCTCTTACTTATGCAGCACTTCATTTTTCTTTTCTTGATGCTTGGGGGTTTCTTCACTGTATACAGATATCTTCTGGTGTCTTCAGGATGTGATATTTTCTGGTGTCTTTGGTCTATGGGATGCAACAACTTTTGTTAGTTAACATAGTAAAGTTTTTTGTTTTTGTTTTCAGTAACCCAAACTTAAAACAAAGTTTAACTTTGTCCATATTACATTGTAAACAAACTATGTAATAGGGACTAGTTTATAAACTAGTTTATAAAAACCCAAACAGGACCATGCAAATACTTTGAGGATATTAAACTTTCATGATGCTTGTGTTTAGAAGCCAAAGGTGGAAACCTCTTGAAAATGTGGAAACCTGTTGAAATTGTTTGGTTAGCTTTATGCATAAATTGTTATTTTTAAACATTTTTGCTATCACATTCTTATAACTATATTTAAAAGTGCAAACAAGTTTATAAAAACCCAAACAAGAAATTGACATTTTGTTAATATTATCTTTACCCTAATGTTGAGGTTTCCCCTTCATTTTTTCTTTGAATAACAAATAAAAAAAACTTTAAAAACAAAACAAAAAATGTGATTAATAAAATAATTATTTTTGTTTGCAATTGCATTATTTGTTGAGGCAGAAATATATGTACATATATTTGTAACTGAAACCTTTTTGAAATTTGCAAAAATCAATTGGTGTTAACAATACTATGATTATACCCCAACCATGATCTTAAAATAGTGTAGTACTGCATATACATATATTTTTTAAATGGAATAAAATTGACTTTTGTTGCAACAAAATAAAAATAAAAAAAATCACGTGACACACACAACATACAACACAGGAGAACACACATGATATACAGGAAAAACTTACAATTAAAAACAAATGGCGCCAGAATTCTATTCATAACTATACAAAATAAGGCAAACAAAAATAAAAATGGTTAAACATTTGAATAAACAAGTTATTACTTCATTTAAAACTTTTAACAAAAACTGATAAAAATATATTAATATTTGCT